TGTATTTAAAATACAATATATATTTTTAAATAATATAAAAAAGAAAACCAAAATTTTATGAATTTTAAATTAAAAAATTAAAAATTTCACAGGGACCATTTGTGATAGATGTGTGAACCTCAAGGATGATTTGTGATATATATATATATATATGCCATGTTAGCAAACTAACGGAGTTTTTGACGGAACCTAACGGCAGGGACCATTTGTGATCACACATACTAACCTTGAGGATCATGAATGACACAAAAAAACATTAAGGATGCAATATGATAGTTTCGTAAACCTTAGGGACGATTTGTGATAATAAGCCTAAAATCATAAGAATGTCAGAGCATGTAAGAGAAATTTGTCCGACAAAAAATTCGCCTACTAGACAAATTGCCGTGATAGGTCTTCCTTAACAAAAATTAGGCGGGAAAGGTCTTTGCCGTACAAAACACGCCGGATAAGTCTATCCCGACTAAAAATTCGCTAGAATAAGTCTGTCTCAACAAAAATTCGCACATTTGAGCAAAGCAACAATGTTATTTACTACGAACAAAAATTCATAATCCTTTCAACATATATCTTAGAAAGATTTAAGGTTGAATTGTCTTTCCTATCTTTAGCATTATGCATGAAGAATTCTCACCTCCCCAGAGCTGCCAAGGTAGGAGTTATCCACCATATTCATGTAAGGTTTTGATGTATCTCTTGAAGTAATCTGCAAAAGTAATGGGGCTAAAAACATAAGTAATACAGACCGAAGTTATCCACCAAAGGAAATACTGACGAATATTTTACTGATAAGAGATCTAAAAGCTGAAATTTCTTTTATTCTTCCATTCTATTTGCATACCAATCACCTAAATATTGGCATAGAAGTTAATTGAAAACATTCTTTCAGGAATTTATGGCGTTGAAAGTTATAACTTATACTGGGAGGGGAAATACCTTGTCATATTTCTTCATGATTTTTGAAAAAGCCAACGTATTCAAGAAGCTGTTTCATTCATGGAAAAAATAATTAGCAACACAGATAAAAATAAAAAACAACCAAACTAGGTACCCCAGTTTGATCTTACCCATAGCTCTTTAGAAGCCGAAGTTTCCGGTAAAATTCAATGAAAGCCCCTTTAAGCTGTTCTTCAACTTTAATTAATAAAATAAAATAAAAAGAGGTTGGTTTGATTTCAAGATAACACCGAGAACAAAAAAGAACATAGGAACTCAGAGAGCAGTCTGGGGAGGATGTATACAGCCTCCAGCAAATAATAAGCGACAATAGAGCTTTAAGGAGATTCCAAAATCACACTCCAACAGATGCCAACATGGAGCCATGGATCTGAAGAGGATGACACAGTAGAGCGGAAGAGGTTGCGTGAATTCGAGCCGAGCAGGGAGCGATCCAAGATCTGAGTTTTGGGACAAGGAAAGGAAGAGGAGATGGGGAAAAAAGAGGAAAACAACACTGGCTATGGAAAAGGGTGGATAAGAACCACCAGATATGAGCATAAAGCCCAAGCAAAATCACCAACAGAGGGTGAGGAGACTCTCAAACAGAGAGGGTGCAAACCAAAACGCAAGAGAGATGGCAGAGAGAAAAGTCGACCCTCATGTGAGAAAACTGAGAGACTTAGCATTTTCTATTCTTTGCTTTTATTCTTCCATTCTATATGCATACCAATCACCTAAATATTGGCATAGAAGTTTATTCAAAACATTCTTTCAGGAATTTATGGTGTTGAAAGTTATAACTTATACTGGGTAGGGAAATACCTTGTCATATTTCTTCATGATCTTTGAAAAAGCCAACGTATTCAAGAAGCTGTTTCATTCATGGAAAAATAATTAGCAACACAGATAAAAATATAAAACAACCAAACTAGGTACCTAAGTTTAATCTTACCCATAGCTCTTTAGAAGCCGAAGTTTCCGGTAAAATTCAATGAAAGCCCCTTTAAGCTGTTCTTCAACTTTCTTCAGATTATCTCTGCTGAACTTGAGCTCTGTCTGTGGAGGCACATTGAGGAAGCCTTTAATGGTCGAACGCGGAGTCTCAACAGTGTGATTCATTGTCACATAATTTAGTATGTCCAGTGGTGCAGGTCTAGTGTCTCTGAAGTTCTCTGCCTTCTTTTCTTGAATCATAACATTCTCTGTCTTTTTTCCATCTTTTTCTTCATCACCAGAATGTTCCTCCTGGCTATTTGATACACTCTCTTCGATCACATCCATAGCCATGGCTGCGCGCCCTGCACACGATAAAACGACGTAGTTTTAGACATAAGCACAATATCAGCGCAGAAAATACACATATCATCACGATAAGCACAACACTACTTACTGCTTGCTCTGACTCCGCGGGGAGTGGAAGCTGCCAAGGCAGCTGTTGAAGCAGCAACATCGGAAGCAAGACGAGTAATCTCCACTGACCAATTGAACGGCCTCTGCGGATTCTCCACTTTGATGCGAAACGCGATGAAAGCATCCATTTGCTTGTTGAGAACAGCAGCTTCCTTCATCACCTCATCCACCTTAGACCTATAAAACTTGTCCACTTTATTGAACTCATCATCAACCTTTCTAAAATACTCCAACTCCTGCACGCCTCCTTCCTCTGCAGCCATTAGAAACGTGGTCTGGTAGTTCTCGGAGCCATCACGTCTCACAGAGTTCACAAGAATGGCTTGGCTTTCGATGTCGACAGGGGATATGGAGGATGGGCTGTTGGGTTGCTGATGGCTGTGACGGCTTCGCGACGTGAGACCACTGAAGGCTCTGTACAATGTGAGCCTTCGCGTTAGGCGGTGACTGCGCGGTGTGGTGGCAGCTGGAGGCTTGTGTCTTTGCTTGCTGCGTTGGATTTCTTTTAGGAGGGATTTTAGATAATCATAATCCATGTATGCTTGCTGCCATTCTGGCACCAATTGTGTTGCGAACTCCTTCCCAAACTTCATATATATATTTTTTAAGCTCTGTGAATTGTTAGCTCTAGAAATTAAGTCACTTGGTTTTCAGCAACCTATTTTGAGTGTGAAAAAACTGAAAAGAGCCCCTCAGATTGGTGCTTAGCTAAATTGGGTTCCTTTTGCAGGAACTTAGCAGAGCAAAGAGCGAGTGAGAAATGTCAAGGACAATGAGCCAACGAGGTAATTGGGTTTCTAAGAGGTACGTAACATATATATCTAAATAAAATTAAATATTTATGCTCTTGTTTGTTTTTGGGTTGAAAATTTATGCAAAGAAGTTTCAAAATATGAGTGAGTCATAGAAGGCGATAAGGTCTCTATTCTAAATACAGAGGCTAGGCAGCCAAAATAGCTGAGCAGAGTGAGCTTCTCTGTTGCTTCATCCCCTAAATTATTATTATTATTATTATTTTTAAACAAAGTTTTGTCCTTTTTGGTCAATTACAAGAAAGAAAAAAGGTTTGGGGTTGCCGTACTCGATGAAGCAGTCGCAGTTGACCAATACCTTATTCGTGGGGGCCCCGGGGTTTTTGTACTGAGACGAGCTTTTAATTAATAAGTTGGATAGATTATGTTCCTAACTACACACGGAACACGTTGAATATATTCACACGGAACACGTTGAATATATTTAGAAAGTACCCCTAGACCTCTAGAAAGTCCCCCAACCCCACCCC